AGCTTCTCAAGAGGCGAGCACGGGGTGCGGGTGTCGTGGGGCTCAGGCAGGCTCCTGTGAAGCGGTGTCTGTCCTGGGGCCGCCTCTGCGCCTCACCGTCGCATTGGCAGCAGGCTTTCAGCTGTGGGAGGGTCCCCCAGGGGTGCTGTGCTGGGGGTTCACCTGAGAGGACAGGCTTCCTCCACAGATTTGCGTGTGTGTGCACCGTCCAGTCCCGCCTTCCCTCCCTGCCGTCCAGTCCCGCCTTCCCGCCCTGCCGTCCAGTCCCTCCCTGCCGTCCTTGTCCTGCCGTCCAGTCCCACCCTGCCGTCCAGTCCCTCCCTGCCGTCCTTGTCCTGCCGTCCAGTCCCGCCCTGCCGTCCAGTCCCTCCCTGCCGTCCTTGTCCTGCCGTCCAGTCCCACCCAGCCGTCCAGTCCCACCCAGCCGTCCAGTCCCTCCCTGCCGTCCTTGTCCTGCCGTCCAGTCCCACCCAGCCGTCCAGTCCTGCCCTGCCGTCCAGTCCCGCCCTGCAATCCTTGTCCTGCCGTCCAGTCCCTCCCTGCCGTCCTTGTCCTGCCGTCCAGTCCCTCCCTGCTGTCCAGTCCCTCCCTGCCGTCCTTGTCCTGCCGTCCAGTCCCACCCAGCCGTCCAGTCCTGCCCTGCCGTCCAGTCCCGCCCTGCAATCCTTGTCCTGCCGTCCAGTCCCTCCCTGCCGTCCTTGTCCTGCCGTCCAGTCCCTCCCTGCCGTCCAGTCCCGCCCTGCCGTCCTTGTCCTGCTGTCCAGTCCCGCCCTGCCGTCCAGTCCCGCCCTGCTGTCCAGTCCCTCCCTGCCATCCTTGTCCTGCCGTCCAGTCCCTCCCTGCTGTCCAGTCCCTCCCTGCCATCCTTGTCCTGCCGTCCAGTCCCTCCCTGCCGTCCTTGTCCTGCCGTCCAGTCCCTCCCTGCCGTCCAGTCCCGCCCTGCCGTCCTTGTCCTGCTGTCCAGTCCCGCCCTGCCGTCCAGTCCCGCCCTGCTGTCCAGTCCCTCCCTGCCATCCTTGTCCTGCCGTCCAGTCCCTCCCTGCTGTCCAGTCCCTCCCTGCCATCCTTGTCCTGCCGTCCAGTCCCTCCCTGCCGTCCTTGTCCTGCCGTCCAGTCCCTCCCTGCCGTCCAGTCCCGCCCTGCCGTCCTTGTCCTGCTGTCCAGTCCCGCCCTGCCGTCCAGTCCCGCCCTGCTGTCCAGTCCCTCCCTGCCATCCTTGTCCTGCCGTCCAGTCCCTCCCTGCTGTCCAGTCCCTCCCTGCCATCCTTGTCCTGCCGTCCAGTCCCTCCCTGCCGTCCTTGTCCTGCCGTCCAGTCCCTCCCTGCCGTCCAGTCCCGCCCTGCCGTCCTTGTCCTGCTGTCCAGTCCCGCCCTGCCGTCCAGTCCCGCCCTGCTGTCCAGTCCCTCCCTGCCGTCCTTGTCCTGCCGTCCAGTCCCTCCCTGCTGTCCAGTCCCTCCCTGCCATCCTTGTCCTGCCGTCCAGTCCCTCCCTGCCGTCCTTGTCCTGCCGTCCAGTCCCTCCCTGCCGTCCAGTCCCGCCCTGCCGTCCTTGTCCTGCCGTCCAGTCCCTCCCTGCTGTCCAGTCCCTCCCTGCCATCCTTGTCCTGCCGTCTAGTCCCTCCCTGCTGTCCAGTCCCTCCCTGCCATCCTTGTCCTGCCGTCCAGTCCCTCCCAGCCGTCCAGTCCCACCCAGCCGTCCAGTCCCTCCCTGCCGTCCTTGTCCTGCCGTCCAGTCCCACTTAGTCCTGCCCTGCCATCCCTTTTCCTGCCGTCCAGTCCCGCCCTGCCGCCCAGTCCCTCCCTGCCATCCTTGTCCTGCCGTCCAGTCCCGCCCTGCCGTCCAGTCCCGCCCTGCCGTCCTTGTCCCGTAGGCTCTGGACACAGCCCATTTACCGTCCTCTGGGCCCGACTGAGGAGTTCCAAGAGCAAGGCCGACCACACCCAGCTCTTTCTATTTCACTATTATTATTTATTTAACATTCTGGAAGGTCTTTATTTTCTGTTATGAATAACTACTTTTTGTAGTCTTCCCAAAGGATGTTATAAATTTCATCACTTTAACATGCCTCTCTGGGACCCATGAAATAACAGTGTCCAGTTTCCCCCCCGAGAAAAGCAGCAGCAGACGCCCCGGAAGCTCCGGCGGCACCGCTCTGCCCCTCCAGAGCACACGTGACTGCTGCTGCGTTGAACGAGACCGCGATTGGTGACATTTCCGCAGAACTTTTCGTGGGCTGTGGTTTTCCGTGCTGTTTTCTTGGGCAGCCTTTCACCAAACGACAGCTCTCCGGACGCTGCGATATAGAGACAATGCCAGGGGGACTGGAGCTTCGTTTCAAGCGCAGTTGGCGGACTGTGGCTTTCTGTTTCAAGTTCAAGCATATGCTTTGTGCGTAGCTGTAAAACACGAACAGCCAGGCCCCATTACTCTTCAACGAGAGTGATTGTACTCGGGGTGAAATGTCAGTTTATGTCGTGAATGATGAAACTTCAGGTGGTAGTAAGAGTGCAAAAGGAAACAAGTCTTTTTGATTAAGGCTTTACGGAATAGAATTTGTATTTAATCAGAACGACGCAAGACTCTTTTCTCGTGATGAGAGCGTGGTGTCTTAACCCAAAGGAAGCAAGTGGAATTGTTCAAATTCTCTTTTTTGTCATCCATTTACTATTGCAGCCTTGGCTAGGTATATATAGTACATTAACATGAAGTACTTTTTAAAAAATTGGTTTTGGAGAGAGAGGAAGGGAGAGGGAGAGAGAGAGAGAGAAACATGGATGAGAGAGAACATTAACTGGCCCCCTCCTGCAGGCCCCCCACTGGGGACCGGGCCCACAACCTGGGCATGTGCCCTGACCGGGAATCGAACCGGAGACCTCTTCATGCATGGGCCGATGCTCAACCACTGCGCCACACTGTCCAGACAACATGAGTACTTTTTAAATATATACTCCTTTAAAAAAAACACACACAACAGAAACTACAAAAAGATCACATATTGCTGGACAGGATGTTGAAATGACAGGTGTGTAGTGTTTTTAAACCCTTCATTTTTGTCAGCGTGAGTTTTCCTCAACTATTTTCCAGTCCCAGTGGGATTTCATTGCGAGGTTTACTGTATCAGGCCAGTGTGGAGTTCCACGACGCAGTCATTCTGGATCCCGAGTCATTTCAGGTAACAATGGAGACGTAAAGTTCACTTAAGAAAATTCGTTACCTTCTCATTACACACAAGTCCTCATAAATCAGTTTCTTCTTGTCTTACATCTAAGTCCTCATCCTCTCCATCACCTGCCTCTGCGCGTGGATGCTTTCTCAGTCGACAGGTAGCCCTGTCGCGTTCCAGGCACAGGCTTAGCTGACAGCGATCTCGGAAGACACCGCTTTGAATTTGCTCCTACAGGGTCTGACCGAGATGGCTAAGCTGGCGGGCACAGAGAATTCCGGCAAACCTCAAAATCTTCATCGATCTGCTGTATACTTCGGCGAGCGGCAGTGTAGGTCTCTCAAGCTTGGCCGTGAAATAGCACTTCAGTGGTGATGCATTCTGGAAACAGAGTCGGTACCCTTCATCTGCTGCTCTTCGGAACTGCCGGTGTCCTCCGGATGGCAAGCGGTTCGGGGCGCGTCCGCGGTAGCTCTCTGAAATCCGGTTTCTGCCTGTGAAGTAGCTTGGGGGTCAGATGGGTTTCGCTGCCGTGTTCTTTCTGAGTTAACTGCTGTTAATGTGGTTTTGAGGTCATCTCATTTCATTTCCAAGATGGTTTCATAAGTTTTCTTTTTATTATTTTTTAAATGTACTGATTTTAGAGAGGAAGGGAGGGAGGCAGGGCGAGGAAGGGGAAGAGAGAGATCAATTTGTTGTCCCACTTACTTCTGCACTCGGTGGTGGATTCTTGTACGTGCTCTGACTGGGCATGGGACCTGAAACCTTGGGGTATCGGGGTGACTCTCCAACAACTGACCTACCGGGCCAGGCCATAGCTTTCACTGGTTCAACTACTTTGGCTTCAAGTCTTTCAACCTCTGCTTGTCGATAACCCTGAAGTTCGGCAAACTCCTCCGCCACGTCTTTTGGCCCCTGCTTTGAGTCTGGGTCTCTGCGGGCACGCACGTCGTCTCATCCACCGGGTCCGCTTCGTCTCGCCCTGGCAGCCTCCGCACGTGGGTGGCGAGTACCTGGCACGGCTCTCCAGAGTGCTCCTCCACGCTTGTGACAGCATTTTGCAACTGTCTGTTTGAACGTCCGGGTGTTCCAAGCTGCACCTCAACTTCTTGCCTCATGCACTACGCTGCGCCTCAACGTCTTGGCTTGTGCACCACCGAGAACCTGGACTGGGGCCCGAAGACGGACGGGGCCGCGATGGGCCCGGGCATGCACTGGTGGGAGCACGGCCGGAGCCTGGGAGCCGCCCCCATTCTTTGTATGGGTGCTGACTTAGAATGCAGACACGGTGCTTCCTGGGAGACCAGCTGATTCCTGGGGCGAGAACCAGGAAGAGACAGACAAGGTCCAGGCCGGAATGGAACTTGCATTCCAGTGGGAGTTTCCAGCTTGGCACAGCCAGGATTCGAACTCGGGCTTGGCAGGCTTAAAAGGCCTGCGTCCTTCCTGAGCTCTGATGCACGGAGCTGACTCATACCCACAGGAACCGCCCCGGAGTCCACACGAGCCTTGCAAGCACACAGCAGATGGGGAGACAGGACAAGCACGCAGGAAACAAGGAGAGATAACAAGACACCCGCTGCTTGTTCCCTGTGTGCTGGCAGGCACGCGTCCAACCTCTGACCTCGGCTCTCCCGTTGCAGTGGGTCCGCGGCAGGGTCCGCGGAGACTAGACTAGTAGCAGTGCTCTCCGTTTGTCGGACACGCGTGTGTTCAACGCCGCCGACCCGCTCAACCCTGTCGGGCAGGTGACCACCCTGCCCCATTTCACAGACAGGGACGCTGAGGCTCAGGGAGTTTAGTAACCGTTCCAAGGGTCACACAGCTTTTTTTTCTCTTTAATATGGAACGTTTCACGAATTTGCGCGTCATCCTTGCTCAGGGGCCACGCTAATCCTCGCGGTGTCGTTCCGCTTTTAGTACAGCACAGGTCACACAGCTCCTAAGGGGAGAGCCAGGGTTCCAGAGAGCTCAAGGAAGTGACTCTAAGATGAGGAAAAGCCGTTAGAGAGATAACTGAGGGGCCACGTTTCGGAGGGTGTGAGGCGCAGCGATGCCATGTCACCTCTCTGGACCATCAGTGCACCAGGGCTGTGCCGCCAGAGGCTGGTGTGGCTGCGGCGTGCCTGGCACCGTGACTGTCAGCATTTTACAAACGAGGAAGCCGCAGCTGCCGGAGGAGATGGACTTGCACAGGGACACAGCCAGGAGGTGTGGGGACCAGATCAGACCCACACTGCGCTGCAGGGCCTCGCCTCGCACACCCATCCCGCCGCCTGTGTGCGGGGCATCGGCACAGTGTACGCTAGTTTCCATCGAAGCCGTTGCTGAGTTCCTAAAGAAAACGGGGGGCAGTTCACGGGGTGGTCACGTGGACAGGCACGGAGAACTCTCGCTTTCGAGTGATACCACCGACACCTCTCTGGCCCTCACAACGCGCCTCACTCAGACCCTCGAAGCGCTTTGCGCATGATTCATGTAATCCTCATGACATTGTACCGACAAGGACATTGAGGCGCAGAGAGGTTAAGGATCTTGCCCAGGGTCACACAGAAAGCAGCCAAGCTGGAAGTCAAACTCAGGCCTTCTGGTTGCCAAGGTCACACCGTCAATCCTAGACTATGCTGTTCTGCGCTTCTGGACCTCAGGCCTCCCCCGGGCAGGCTCCCTCTGCTTATAGGGGTGCAGATGGCTGCATAGTCAGACATCCGCTCGTAGCCCTGGCCCGTGTAGCTCAGTCGGTTGGAGCATTGTCAGGTACACCAAAAGGTTGCGGGTTCAATTTCCAGTCAGGGCACATGCCTAGGTCGTGGGTTGGTCCATGGTTGGGGTGCATATGAAAAGGCAGAAGATTGATGTTTCTCTCTCATCAGTTTTCTCTCTCTCTCTCTCTTTCTTCTTCTCTCTCTAAAATCAACAAACATATCCTCAGGTGAGGATTAAAAAAAATGCACATATAACTTTGCCTTTACAATTACCCTCCAATATGTGGACTAGAGCAACTACCAGTAGAAGAAAACAGCGTTTTTCCGTTGTGAATTCACAGTTGGGAGTGTGCAAATACTGTTTGACCCTCCTGGGTCGCCTGGATCTGTGGGTGCTGAACAGGAGGACACAAAGGGCCCAGCGCGCGAGTGGGCCTGCGGTTCTGACCCGCGTGGCCCAGGGGTCCATGGCATGTCGTTCAGATGGCCCAACTGGGAACAGCTAGTTTTAGGTCATTCTTTTAAAATCTTGCGTGTTGGAATCATAATGTATTCCACGGTGTTTGGTGGTTTTCTTCCCTTTGTTACTGCCAAGGATTTGTGGTGGGCGCCCCTGCAGAGACCGTCCCAGCTCAGGGACTGGATGTCCGCAGGATAACTTCCGGTGCCAAGGTCGGATTTTCTACACACGTGTTTTGGAACCTGGGTTCATGTGTGCTTAACGAGGATTTTATCTGGGGCTCGGCTCATTGATGGATCCTCAGTATTTGGGGCCCAAACGGCCCAAGCTGCCTTGTAGTGGCCCAGCGTGCAGGCCCAGCAGCCCAGTGGGTTCAGAATGGACGAGGTGCGGGAGGGGCAGGGTGTCCCGGAAGGAGGAGACGGCCAAAGGGGGGTGGTGTGCCAGCAGTGTGTGCAGTAGCGAGGCTGCACATATCCTCCCTGGTGCCCTTGGCCCTTGGTTCTCATTCTTAGAACAGGAACCCCTCTTCCTGAGCTCGGGGGTTCTGAGAGTACCCCGCTCAGTACAGCTCCTGCCTGGCACTGGCCCTGCAAGAACTGGAGCTGTTGGCAGCCCCACGGGCACTGGGCCACCCAGCTGGGGTCTCCTGAGTGCCCGTTAGCCCTCAGGCCATTCCGGCTCCTCACCTAACAACTTGGCGCTCAGTGGCTCCGTGGCTCAGAAACAGCTGTCAGAGGGGCCCTCGCCCCACCCCGCCCCACCGCGGGCCGCACACTGCGCCCGGACCCGCTTCACTGCACACTCCACAGGGCCGTCTGTTTGACCACTTGCCCCAAGGGGGGTGCACAGTTTAACAACACATGACGTTTTCATTGATCGTGGAATTATTTACCTACAAGTGATACATTATTCATAAGTCGTGTACATGTGTTAGGTCAGACCGTACGCAGTCGCCAGTTATGGAGGTCAGACCAGCCAGATGCCTGCAGTTTCATGGGGCTGTTTTCAGCTTCAGCTATCAGGAAGTCTAAATTTACTTTTCACCTTTTAGATAACATACCAATAGAAGTGCTCATCTGTTTTGGTAACTTTGGGCAAAATAGTTACTATTGCAAAGCCCTTTTCCTGATCTGCAGGGACAGTGATGGCCCAACGCTACAATGATAGCACTATAGTGAGATTAAAAAAAAATAGTCCAGCCGGCGTGGCTCAGTGGTTGAGCATCGACCCCTGCACCAAGAGGTTGCTGGTTCGATTCCCGGTCAGGGCACATGCCCAGGTTGTGGGCCCGATGCCCAGTGAGGGGTGTGCAGGAGGCGGCCAATCGATGTTCTCGCTCATCAGTGTTTCTGTCTCTCTCTCCCTCTCCTTTTCTTTCTCTCTAAAATCGATAAAGAAAGAATATATATATATATATATATATATATATATATATATATATGTATATGAATTACTGTGATATGGGTGCAAAGTGAAGCCATTATTAGCTCAACATTTTAAGTTGTATTTATATGCTTGTTTTACAAAGCTGGGGCCGTTCTTGCTAATCACCAGCTCAGGGGGACATTAATATCTAATCCTCAGTGTCACGCCTCACACCGATCATGCGGATTTTTAACAGCTTTTCACCGAACCCCTACCGATGGCCATTCCGGCTGTGTGAGTCCTTCACTTCTGCGTGGCGTTAGCTCTGAGCGAGCCCTGGATTGTTGTTTTTTGGTAAGTCCCTGGCCAAGGCAGCCTTTTCCTTGGTCCCCACCCCGTCACTTCCTTCCTGTTGCAAATGGACACGAGAAGGTTGGGCTGGGAACTTTGGGGTGTGGAGGTGGGGTGGGATTCTGCGGGCCCAGGGACCGCTGTGAACGCAGGTACGAAGCCTGATTAAGCCGAGGGGAGCCCAGACAACCCACTTACCCTGTCCCTGCAGATAGTTTGAAGATGCCCTTCTGTTGTGATTTAATATGTCTTGACTCCACCCACTGCAAGGAGCCAGATAGTCAGCGGGATGCCTGGCCCTCCAGGGGGTGCTCTCAGCAGGAAGGGATCCTGTACCCAGTGGGGAACCTTGTGAAAATCAAGGTCCGGTTCAGTAGGTCTGGGAGGCATCCTGGAGCCGACCGCGCCCAGGTGTTGCGACGAGGCAGGTAGGGTTAGGCTTTGAGGAGCGAGGGTCAGTGTTCCTCATGGCACAAACCCTACACCTGGGGTCAGCAGAGGCGCACGGAGGAGACCCTGGCCAGGAGCAAGGCATCGGAGTGCTCATCCTGGCACCTCGGGTTCTAGCCTCCATTCGGGCCCTGACGCCGAGCACGGGTCTCCGCTGCCGTCACTTCCCTGCCACATGGCCGATCTCCATGCCACACCTTCTCTGCCCCCACCTGTTGTCCCAGGCTGGGGTGAGCTTTCTGAAGCCCACCCAAGGCTCGTCATTGCCTCCGGGCCCCTCAGGCTCCTGCCTACTCCTCGCCTGGCACCAAAAAGGCACCCCCCCAAATTTGCTGAATGCGGGACACAGAGATGTGTGTCATAGGGTCACAGCCATTTCCTGGGCTCTGTTGTCCCTTGGACTCTACCTGTCATCTGCACGTGTGAGCCTCCCGGTTGGAGGAAAAGGTTGAGTTCCTCTCTACTCTGTAAGTCAGCTCTGCGTAAAACTCTGACAGGGACCGGTGAGGCCCTGCCTTTGCAAAAGCACTGAAATGTCCGCTGTTCTGCTGGACTCTCGGGCATCTGCAGACCACTCGCCGAGGGCCAAAGGCCACCTGCGCTCCAGGTTCTTAGGGCCCAGGCTCAGGGCCAGCTGTGCTTGGCTCTCCCGTTCGCTCGCCCTTTTAACTTCTCTGTGCCTCGATTTTCTCACCTGTGTAACGGGGATAAGATGTCCTTGGAGGTCCCAGCCTCTTTTCTGCCTTCCTTGCCTTGGGCCCTTTGTTCCTCCTTCAAAGCCAGCACTGTAGCATCTTCAGATCTCTCTCTGACTCGGACTCTCTGCCGCCCTCTGATAAGGACCCTGTGGTTACTTTGGGCCCACTTGGATAACCCAGGATAATCTCCAGCTCCAGACCCTTAACTTAATCACAACTGCAAAGGCCCTTTTGCTATGTACGGTGATGTGTTCACAGATTTTGGGGCCTTGGAGGGGGACATCTTTGGGAGCCATTATTCTGCCCCTGGGTGTGCCGAGCAGGAAAGAGCGGGGTTCCCAGTGTGTCTGCTTGGGTGTTCGGCCTTTGTGTCTCCCTTTCCCCGGGTGTGTCGTGGCGGTGAGGACGCATCTGTTTCGTGGAGCTGTCGGAGGAGTCAAGGAGTTGATGAGGATCAAGTGCAGACCCCATTCCCAGCCCTGAGCACCTGTGTCCGTCCTTAACCCACCTGTGACCATGGCCCTGGGCTGTTTCCCTGTCATTTCAGTGAGGGGGGTGGCCCACATGACTTGGAAGTTCTCTTCCAGTGTTGTTGACATTTAATCCTGGGTGTGTGTGTGTGTGTGTGGTGTGTGTGTAGTGAGGGTGGGTGGGATGGAGACGGGGAGAGACACTTTGTGAACTGTTTATATTTCATGCCTTTTGATGTAATTCCAGTCAAACCAGATCTTAAATCATGCAGCAGGAAGCTCCTTTAATTTTTAATTTGTTTTTCTTAGAAATGATTATTTCCACATTGAGCTCAGAGACACTTGGGTCTCATCCTGTCCTCCCTCCTTTATTGTTCCTGAAGCTCCCCAGGCGGCTGTTGGCTGCTGCCAGTCAGGTGGGCTTTGTGCAAGCCCAGCG